AAAAAAAAAAAAAAAAAACAAAGAACTAGAAGCCAGACCCTTAATGGTCCTGGCCTCCTCAGAGACTGGCAGAGGGTGGGAGGGTGCAGAGATCTCTCTTGGCCCTACATGACTCATTACAGCAAGTCTAGCTGTTGTCAGCACTGCTTTCTTGCTGCCTCTGGGAAGGAGCTGGAGTTCCTGGTAGGCATACGGCTTTGTCCTCTGGTTCAGAATCCAGGCATTACAAGAAGCCCAGCCTGTCAGCTCTTGCTGCCCATGTGCTGAGAGCTTATGTAGCAAAAGCAGCAGGAATGAGAAGGGACTTGGGGGAAATGATTGGTGTGGATTTAACGAGAAAGAAAGTGGGTTCAGTATGCCTCTGCCCTCTCTTCTGCTACAGGTTTTGCTGGAACCCCAGGTTACTTGTCCCCTGAGGTCTTGAGGAAAGATCCCTATGGAAAACCTGTGGATATCTGGGCCTGCGGTAAGCCCATTCCACGCTCTCAGCTTTTCGCTGTTAAGGGCCCTTAACTTCCGATGATGGCAAGAAAGAGGCATCGCTATTCCTTGCGGGTCACACATACATGCCTGGTGTACGTGAAATTACGGTGTTTGCTCTAGTGCCCCTGGAATGGCCGTTCCCATCACACTCTCCTCCCTGAGTGCTTCTGGGATGACATTGTATCCTTCTTGGAGAGGGATTTGCCCACGCCCTAGAGGATGGGTTGTGCCTAAAGAAATCCCTGGTGTGACTTGGTGACGTGAAGTGTGAGGCATAGCAGGAGGGGCTGGTAGCATAGCATTATTGGCTGGCATCCACTTCTGTCTCTGGTATGGCCCCTGCCTTTCTAGGTGGCTCTGAGCCCTGCATGGCTTTTCTTGGTTCCTCAGGGAAGTAGGCGACTGACCCCCATGACCTGTGTGTTCTGTCTCGTAGGGGTCATCCTGTATATCCTCCTGGTGGGCTATCCTCCCTTCTGGGATGAGGATCAGCACAAGCTGTATCAGCAGATCAAGGCTGGAGCCTATGATGTAAGGACCAGAGAGCCGGGCAGCCAGGCCAGGAAGGGCAGATGTCCTGCTCCTCGGGCTTTGTCCAAGGGAGCAGGCTTGTTTAGTGTGTCACGTGATACAGGGGGTGTCAGGGGACTTTGAGGACCCAGGGATGGGCATCCAGGGCCCAATTCTTGCCACCCTATGTCCCAGGGAGCAACTTTCTTTTGCACAGCCTTCTTTGTAATTAAAACTGAGGAGCCCACTGAAGTCCTTTGATCTTTACTTGCAAAGAATGGAGCAGCCTCATTGGTGTGCTGTGTAACACAGGGACAAAAGGCCTGGAGACTCCCTTCACTGCAGTGGCACCTTGGACACATTGCTGAGCCTCTATTCCCTCCTAAGTAGAGAGCTGGGCTTAAACCAGAGAATGTTGGAGTCCCCTTCCTGCTCTGATCTGATATTCTGGTGTTCTAACCATGAGTGTTCTGTCTGTCTTTCCCAGTCTTTAAGTTGACACAGGTTCTGGGATAGCCCCAGGGCTTCTCCAGCTCTGCTGGTCACAGCTTTAGGTACCACAGAGCATCCCAATTACAGGAGTTGAGTTGAAGACAGAGCCAATGTTTCAGGGTGTGAAGCTCACCAGTATCATATTCCTCCTCTCCCTGTTCCTGCTCCTTAGTTCCCATCACCAGAATGGGACACGGTAACTCCTGAAGCCAAGAACTTGATCAACCAGATGCTGACCATAAACCCAGCAAAGCGCATCACGGCTGACCAGGCTCTCAAGCACCCGTGGGTCTGTGTAAGTATCTTTGCCAGTGGCCAAGGAGCTCAGGGGTGTCAGCCCTCCATGTGCCCTCGGTACCACCTCCTCCCTCTTACCAGCAGAGATTCATTCTGGGCCCCAAGCAAGAACTGAGCAGGCGGGCAGAGGACTGTTGAGGGCCAGGGTCAATAAATGTCACCAGGGAGACTCGGGAGGCTGATGGGGGCTGGCGGGCTGCTACTCCTCTCTCCCCTACTCATGGCTGTCAGACTGGGATTGGTTCTGTTCTTAGATGAGGGATCAGGTTGACCCTTGCAGACTCCGGGTAGCTGGTGATAGAAAGCAGCTAGCAAAACCCAAAGTGAATTCCCAAGCTGGGGTCCATACTCAGATCTCAACTCCAATGGAACAGGGACCAAGACCCAACAAATCAACAGAAGGGGTCTCTGAGTCATTAAAAGCATAGAAGGTGAGGCATAAAGCTTCTGTGCTGAAGTCCTAGGAGAGTCCCCTAAGGCTATCAGTTTGGGGCGACGTACTCTGTTTTCATACACAATTCTTTCAAGCTGAAATGTCTACTTTCAAAAAAGAGGATTTGGTAAGTTAGGCATCTTGACAACCACGAGGCATTATTTATCTGTCCATTCTGTGTTTATTGAATACCTCTTTGGTGCTGGTCACCGTCTGGGTGCTGGAGATACAAAGATGAATGAGGCATGGTCCCTGCCCCCAAAGATCATCTAGGGAGACAGGCACTCAAACTGGCAATCATGTTACAATGTGACAAGTATGTACAAGAATCTAGTGAGAGTACAGGAGCTCCTACTGTTCCTAGTGGGTAGTGGGGTTACTGAAGGCTGCATGGAGGAGGTGACACCCCTGTCCTGGTTCTTGGCAAATTACGAGGTCCTCAGAACGTTAACCTGCAGGGTTTAGCACGGTAAGAGGTTATGGGAAACTGTGGTGAGTTAAAGGAATGTTGAGTTGTTTGGTTGTCGATGAGGCTGCAAATATCAGAATGCAAGAGAATGAGGCAAAAGATTCCCTGACATACAAGTTTCTGCTTAAGGAGTTTGGATTTTATTCTGGAAACATAGGGAATCATTTAAGGGTTTTAAAGAAGGAACAAAATTTGCATTTAAGAACACTTTGAAAGTTGTATAAAAAATGAATTGCCAGGCACGGTGGCACGTGCCTATAGTCTCAGCTACTGGGGAAGCTGAGGCAGGAGGATCATAAGCCCAGGAGTTTGAGGCTGCAATGAGCTATGATTGCACCTGTGAATAGTGTTTGTACTCCAGCCTGGGAAAGATGGTCAGACCCCACCTCTTTAAACAAAAACAAGGGAATTGAAAATTTTTGAAAGAAAAGGGCTGGAGACAGAGAGCTCAGGAGGCTTTTTTAATAGTCATAATAGTCTAAGCAAGACCAGGTGAGGTCCCAGCGGAGGGTAAGGATAGGGGAAGGTGCAGTGTGTTGAGATTCAAGAGATATTTGAGAGAACCTAAAGGATTTAATTCTCTCCAGTTGGATTTGGGGGAGCAAAGAAGAGAGAGGGATCTGTGGGAACGGCCAGGTTTCAAGTTGGTCCCTGAGCGGAGAGTTGTACCCTCATTGGCCCAGAAGAAAACCAGAGGAGGAGCTTGTTTGTGAGACAAGATGATGGTTTTCATTTTGTGCCTACTGAGTATGGTGTCTGGCAACCTCCAGCCAGACACATCCAGTGGGTGGTTAGAAATATGGTCCTAGAGATTAGAAAAGAAGCTAAAAATTGGAAATCCAGGTTGTAGTCATTTCTGTGCAGTTGGTAGTGAGGCTGTAGAAATAGCCTCTTCCTATGCTATAGATGGGCCTGTGCCTATGCTGGTTGAGTTCTTAACGGTGAGCTTGTATTGCTGTAGTAGAGACGAGATGGCCACTACACACCAGCATTTAAATGACAGGGAGAGTTAGGGGGCCCAGCAAAGGACAATGAGAGTGAGACCTTCCAGAAGACCCAGAAACTAAGAAACGGGGTCTCAGTAAGGGAACGTCAGGAATCAGATGCAGAAGAGTCCCTGATTAAGTTGGGGAAGAATCCCCTGGCTCTGACCATTAGATGCCATTGTTTCATCATTTCACTAAGACAGTGGAGAGAAAGATGGAAGCCTGTTTTCAGTGAGACAAAGAGGGAGTGAAGGTGAGGAGGGGCATGGGGAGCTAGGCAGTGAGGTGGGAAATAAATGGTGCTACTTCGATTAGGATGGGCTGGGGGAGCTTTTAATGTAAGGCTCACACCTGTAATCCCAGCACTTTGGGAGGCCAAGGCGGGCAGATCACTTGAGGCCAGGAGTTCGAGACCAGCCTGGCCAACATAGTGAAACCCCATCTCTATGAAAAATATAAAAAATTAGCTGGGTATGTTGGTACACACCTATAATCCCAGCTACTTGGGAGGCTGAGGCATGAGAATCACTGGAACCCAGGAGGTGGAGGTTGCAATGAGCCAAGATCATGACACTGCACTCCAGCCTGGGTGACAGAGGGAGACTCTGCCTCTAAAAAAAAAAATTCTTTTTAAAGATTATATTGGCAAGGCGTGGTGGCTCACACCTGTAGTCCCCAGCACTTTGGGAAGCCAAGGTGGGTAGATCACTTGAGCGCAGGAGTTTGAGACCAGCCTGGGCAACGTGGCAAAACCCCATCTCTACAAAAAAATTTTTTAAATTAGCTACTTGGGAGGCTGAGATGAGAGAATCACCTGAGCCTAGAGAGTTGCAGGCTGCAATAAGCCATGACTGTGCTACCGCACCCTAGCCTGGGCAACAGAGTGAGATGCTGTTTCAAAAAAAAATTTTTTTTTTAATTTAAGGAGAGGCTTAACTATAATTTATAGAGAAGAATCTAGTCCAAAGGAAAAGAGTTGAAGATCCTGGCTAATTGGGGAAGCAAAGGTTTGGATAGCAGAAAAAGAGAGGGAGCTCCTGAGCCAAGGGCAAGGGGTCCACCCCAGGCATGAGGCATGATCCCCCTGAGACTCCTGTTAGGGTGGAGGCAGGTGAAAATCGCTTTCTGAGTGGGAGTCTGAGCTGAAAGGGGTTCTTGCTGATGACCTCTCATTTTGCTTTTGGAGAAATTTACACCAAGGAGGAGGCAAAATGAGAGACTTGGGGAAGGTAGAGAAGGTGGGGAGAGTTGCCTCCGGACCTGGAAAGAGTGGGCCAAGGGTGAGGGAAAGGATCACGAGGAGGCCCCGTGGTGGTGTGGGTACCTGGCTGCAGGTGCCAGGATTTGTTTTTCTGACAGGCTGGTGAAGACAGCAACAGCAAGGGGAGAGGGCAAGCAACCTGAAACAGGCATCCAAGAATGGGGGAAGTATTCTGTTCTGGGGTCATTTTTGCAGGCCCTACCCTCTACAGTCCTATGTATCTTGAGCCCCTGAGGACATCACTATATTCTGAAATTACATAATAATTGATGCTGGTATTGACAACTGAGTCATCGAGGAAATGTAGACTATGTCCCATGGACTCTGTTTAAGGAGGCCAGGAAGTTAGCAGTAAATTCATTGAAGACAAATTTCCATCCAAAAAAGGCCAGGCACGGTGGCTCACACCTGTAATCCCAGCACTCTGGGAGGCCGAAGTGAGCGAGCGGATCACTTGAGGTCAGGAGTTCAAGACCACCAGCCTGGCCAACATGGCCAACCCCATCTCTACTAAAAATACAAAAATTAGCTGGGTGTGGTAGGATGTGCGTGTAATCCCAGCTACTCAGAAGGCCAAGACAGGAAAACCTGGGAGGCGGAGGCTACGGCGAGCCGAGATCACATCACTGCACTCCAGCCTGAATGACAAAGTGAGACTCCGTTGGAGAAAAAAAAAAAAAAAATTCCATCCAGAATGATGAAAAGAATTGATGCTTCAAGGTGACGATCCTTAGCTTCTGGGATCACGGCTTCATTCAGGACCTTGCTGGGTGTGTGTTGAGAGGGGCTCTTGGAAGGAAGGAACGTCCTCTGTAGAGAGCAGGAACCCTGCCGTTCTCTCGCTGCTGAGCATCTGGAACGCAGTAGGTGCTCAGTAAGCAGCTGCCTAAGGAGTAACTGAATGAGGATCACAGCCCCCAGGGTACTCTTCTGTTCCATAGCCTCCGTTTCCCAAGGAAGAATAGGACGTGCTCTTAGCAGCCCGTCTAGCATCAGTTACGGCGTTCTCACGTTCATGTTGTCCTTTGTAACCTTGAGTTTGGGGTAGTGCTTTTATTCTAAAGTGTTATCTGTGACCTCATTTCATCTTCAGAGCAACTCTGGGGTGGCTGAGTGCGTGACCCTGTCCTGGACATGGTGTTGGTACCAGGACTGTGGGAGGGGCAGAGGATCTGGGCTGGGGCTCACAGCCTGTCTGTTTGGTTTCTAGCAACGATCCACGGTGGCATCCATGATGCATCGTCAGGAGACTGTGGAGTGTTTGCGCAAGTTCAACGCCCGGAGAAAACTGAAGGTGAGTGTCATTTCTGGGCTGCCAGCCTCCTTGACATCATGCCTTGCACAAGTGTGGCTCCTGCCCCATTACAGAAGGAAGCTCCCCTCCGGGCTGGAGCTGGGCTCTGAAGGTTGTACATGTCACAGGGGAGGGGGCCCAGAGGCCTGATGTCTTCAGGCTCTATCCTGTACCTGCCTTTGCCTAAGACCAGCCTGCCCTTTTCTAGGGTCTCAGTGAATTCACAGGACCTTCCTCTTTCCCCAGGGTGCCATCCTCACAACCATGCTTGTCTCCAGGAACTTCTCAGGTATGTTTTCCCAGCTGTGTACTTTGATTATGCCGAGGTGAGTGGGTCAGGAATGGGCTGTTGCCATCCCAGGCACCGCTGGGTTTCCTCGGCGTCCTGGGCCACACCTTGACCAGGGCGAGTGAGGATCCTGTTTTGAGGGGCTGCTGCTGCTGCTGCTGCTGAGTCCTGCTCCTGAGATTCAGGGGCTGGACTCACATTTGTGAATTCTATTTCCTAGAACTTCCCAAGGAGTAGTCTGCCCACCTTGCTATGTACCTTGTTTCTCTGGATTCTTATTTAACTCTCTGAAGACTCTCAGCACTTTACAGATTGTAGCCACTCTAGGATCTTGGAGAATGTGCTGGGGGAAGAAAAGAGAGATGAGGTACAGCGAGTCTTCTCAATTGCCAAATTGCCACCATTCATTTGCCTGCTGGGACGATCTCTTACTTTATTTTGCCCAAGTGGAGATGACTAATAGAAACTATTCCAGATGTTTAAACCTTTTGCGGCGACTTGTGCTTAAAATATTCCCTATGATGCTAGCTATAAAAGTGAAGAAATAAAGACCAGCAGGAGAGAGGGAAAGGAACTTGCTTAAATTTGCATGAAGAATTGGGAGAGGTGGGACCAATAATTTGTAAATCACACTTGACATTTCTTTTTAAGATGCAAGACACTCCACTCCCCTCTTGCCCCCACCCTTACCCCAGCCCCTATTATTGTTTGCCTTCAATTGGGAAGCACAGTGGCTTTTTTGTGAGGAATAGATTAATGTGGAGACTGAAGACAGAGAGGGCTCTGCCCAGCTTGCCATCTCCCCCGGTCCTCCCTCCCTCTAATCCCTTGCCTCACTGTTTTGGTTCAAGACACCCCTTCTCCTTCCCATAATAAGACTCCCTCCCTTGCTTCCCCTCTGCACCACCATGGAAAGGGGGTTGTGTGGGAGCCTAAACCACCACTCAGTGGGAGCCGCTTCTGAGTATCCGTCCTGATGGGCTCACCTGCGCTGGCTCCAGGTAACCCCAAGGGCCTTGGCTGTGAGGATGCTGCAGGCAGGGAGGCCTAGGGCTTGGTGGTGTAGCCTGAGAGCCATGGAGCTCTGGAAGGCCAGGGCTGGATAGTAAGCCCGGGCTGGTGGTACCCTGCCTCAGGCCTCCTTTAACACTGGTTTGGGGCTTGATCTTGTGTTGTGGGTATCCACAACGGGCATACTGTGGTCTGGATCCACCTCTCGCAGATGGGAACGGGGAAGCGTGGCTGGCTGCCTCCGGTGGAGTTGCAACTGTAGTCCCACGCCCTGCTTCTTGTGCTTTAGTGACGCAGCTTCTACTTTTTGGGTCTACGAGCCTTTCCAGAGGACATTTAAAGGCGTTTCTGTGCTGCCCCTAGAGCGAAGCTCTGTCCTCTCTCCCCTCTAAGTTGAAGAAATGTGAAGTCAGAATGCTGCTTTTCTTTTAGCCTGGTCAGTCAATAGCAAGGGCCCTGTCTTGTGGCCCCGGGCCTCCATGTCAGCCTCCCCCTCCATTTCAGGAAACTGGCATCCTGGTTTCAGGAAATCGAGTGTTAGGACAAAGCATTTTATTCATCCCAATAGCGCCTCGTGTTCTTATTGGCCAGACCTAGACTGGCCTTTGAGCTCACTTTGCCTTGGGTCAGAGGAGACAAACAATGCCGCAAGCATTCCAGGATGTCCTCTTCTGTCCTGACTCTGGGACAGGTGAGGACAGAGTCTGTCCGGAAGCTTCTGCAGAAAGAGGTGTCTATGGATGCAATCAAGAAGGAAGGGCACCGATATATTTCCCTAGGGCTGTTTTTTGAGTTGACCCCCAATAGGAGATGTGGCTCAGCCTGGACTCTAGCAGTTTGGCTAACAGCGAATCGGGGCCTCCAGAGTGTATTGCTTCAGCAGCCTTTGTTTTCTTTCTGGGGCTTATCTCTTGGGTACCTTCTCCCTCAGCACACTGCGACACACAGACTGAAAATGCTGCCTCTCCCGGCTACCTCCCTTAAGACAGGGACCTGTGTCTCTGAGGGGCTGGGGGGCATGGAGCTGGGGCCCGCCAGTAAACTTAGTTGCACAAGGGCCACAGACCCTCCCTGGGTCTCACACACCAGTCCCTCTAGTGTGTGGGATGTAGAGAGGGGAGAGGGCTGCTCTGCGCCCCCGGCTCACTCATTGTGGGCTCATTTAGCTTCTAAAGAGGGAAGGACTAAAAGGGAGGGCTTTTCATCACAGCCTTAAGCTAGGGCCGGGCTACCTGAGAAGGGGCACCTGCCTCTCACCGGCTCAAGCACTTCGCCATGGACCCTCCCCTGAGGGGGTCATGAGACAGGCACTGCTGCCCTCTCCATCTGGTGGGGATGCAGTGTTCCCTATGCCCTGGCCCAGCCCGGTCCTCCCAGGCTCCCAGACTGCTGCAGGGCTGGCTGTGCCTGCCTCCTCGGCCTGCCCTCGGCGCTCTGCTCCCCCAGCTCGGCTGGCTTGGCCACGCCGCCTGGGCTGCGCCTTGCGCTGGGGCATGCTCGCTGCTGACGGCCCTGTGGCTTTGCGGGGCTCTGTGCACTGAGAGACTGTATCCCCTCAGTTGGCAGGCAGAGCTCCGCCCCCGCCTCGCCTGCCGCGAGCGCCGCCGGCCTGGCCGGGCAAGGTACGTGGCATGAGTCCTCCCCGACCGCCTGCCTCGGCCCCCTGCCACCCCACCAGGAGGGCCAGCATGCCAGGCCCACTCACCAGGGAGGCGAGTCCCATGCTTGCGGGCTGAGATGGGCATGCCGGATGGACTACCTAACTTGGCATCTGCAAGCGCATTGTTGTTACGGAGCCCCCTAACCAGCCATGCATGCTGGGCGCTTGCCAACTCAGGGGGCAGTAGCCTGGGGGCGTGGAGCCGGGCAGCGGGAAACTTGCCAAGAGCCCGACGCCCTGGGAGGGTCGCAGCCGACAGTGGGCCCTCAGAGACAGTGCTGGGCATTGCCCTGAGCTGCCTGGTGCTAGGACTAGACTTCTGCAGCACTGTTTAAGACCCCACGGAGGAGCTGCGCCCCTCAAAATTGTGAAGTCTGGCGCTTTCAGGCCTCCAGGTCTGAAAGGCTCCAGAGTGCAGAAGCCTCAGAGCCAGCTGTTCCTGGGTTCAGATCCTAGCCTTGCCACACCCTGAGCGAGTCACATCAGCTCTCCCAGCCTTAGTGTCCTCACCTCCCCAACGGGGATGATAAATTACATGGTGGTTCTTAAGATCACCCTGTCGAAGGCTCTCAGCCCTGCCTGTGCAGTACAGCCGTTACCTGGGAGCTCATAAGAAGTCTTAATGCCAGGAGCCCACCCCAGACAATAAAATCAGAGCCTTGGGGATAGGATAGGCTATATGCTTTTTTAAGCTCCCAGGTGATCCTAATGGGCAACCAGTGTTGAGAGCTGGCTGGTGAGTGGAAAGCACTTAAGACAGTGGTAGGTCAGGCACAGGAGTCAACACATTTAAAAAACAACATTCAAACCCAGCACAACATAAGATCAAAGACCTTTTTCTGGAGCCAGAATTCTTGTAATGGGAGGACCCCTAGTCTCACTAGAGAGAGACGGAACACAGATTGGGGAGGAATGGCTACCCAAAGGGCAGGAGGGTGGCAGCAATAGTGACAACGATGGTGGACACTTACTGAGTACTTGCTATATGCCAGGTACTCTGCTAAGTGCTTTTCATGCATAATCCCACTGGATTCCCACCACTGTTCTGTGATGTCGACCCTACTTTATCCCATTTTATAGATAAAGAAATTGAGGCTCAGAGAGGTTAAGTAACTCACCAAAGGTCACACAGCTGGCAAGTGGTGGAACCAAGATAAAAACCCAAGGCAGGCAGTCCAGGTGGATCAGACAGTTGGGCTGATTCCATCTCCCTGTGCCTCCCAGACTCTCCTCCCCACTGTCTGCTGCCTTCCTGTGGCCTTTTGTGGCCAGCTGGTATCACCAGCCTTCTGGCACAGAGCTCATCAGCCTGGAGCGTCACCCCATGCCTGGCTAGAATCTGTTTGACAGCTCATTATTCTGCCCAGTCCTTCCTGCTCACGGGTCCAGAGAGTGGACACTGGGGAAAAGGGTGGCAGCTAGGACCCAGTGAACCTGGTGAGGACCTGCCCAGTGAAGGCTTCAACCCCCTGGCAAAACCCTCCTGTAGGTGGTCCTGGTTTCTGTATCTGTGTCTGTCTGTCCTCTGGTCTCCTGTGTGAACTGTGACACTCTGCTTCTTGAGAACACTCAGGAGATGTCTTGCATCCTTGCAGTTTGGCCATCCAGAGAACTGCCATGGCACCTAGGGATGGAGCCCTCACCCTTTCACCCTGGCACTCTGCTTCCAGGCCTGGGTGGAAGCTGTCAAAGGCAGAGTCCCCAGTGTCCCAGGCAGCTCCAGTACTGAGCATGGTTTCTCCTCTAAGTGCCGTGCATCCATGCCCTTTTTCCTGCAGAGGAGATCCTGAGGTGCCACCCTGAGGGCTCTGACGCCACTTGAGATCGCCTTCTTGCCAAGAGGCTATAGGAAGTGCCTCTTTCGGGGGTTTCGGGAGATCCTTGGCCCCCTTGTCAGACACAGCACTCTCTTGTGGATCTGGCTGCCGGACTTCAGGTGGGGGAGAGGGTACAGTGCAGGAGACTTGATTTTCCTCTTTGTTTTCACAGCTGCCAAAAGCCTATTGAACAAGAAGTCGGATGGCGGTGTCAAGGTAAGTGTCTCCAGCCTCTGAGCAGACTGACCTCTTTATCCCCGCAGTCACTATGGGAATTCTTGGCACCTGGTTCCGCCTTTCCCAGGGAATCTTCCTATCCTTGCTAGTCTGCTTTAAACCAGATGCCTTTGTGCTCAGAACAGAAGGTTTTGCTGGCCTGAGAGGGAAGTAGGGAGGTATTTTTCCTGGCCCTAGCTGGATGGGAATGACTCAGGGGAAGTGATCCAAATCATAGTTTATACCAGAGCTGAATCCGGAACCTGACTTCCACACGGATGCTTCATCTCCAGGGCTTGACTCTGGGTTTTTTAGGTCATTTGGTTATCTTTCTTTTTTTCCTTTTTATCACAAACCCTTTTAATCAAGTGAAAGCCAAGTTTGACTGAGTGATTTAGGCAGGGTATGGGGCTTGGAACCTGAAACCACTCTCCTTTTGGTCTTTTTCCTTCTCTCTACAACACTTTCAGATCCCACTGAGTGCCAGAGCCTCGAGCTTTCTTGATGCATAGGCTCCTCAGGAAAAGGCAAGGGCCATGGTGGATCACGGCTTGTTCCCACTGGGTGAGGGAGCTTTTCCCATGGGACTGGGGCAAGAGGAGGGACCTGGGACTCACCAGGAGCCCTGCTGGGAATGGCTGCTTGGCCAAGGTAGAGGAGAGGTGGCTGGGGCTACCCACAGGGCCCAAGACATTCTGTAGATGCTTTGGGGACAGAAAGGATCCTGGGGCTAGGGCATTGGGTAGGAGCTCATGCTATCTTGAAGCCTCCCAACTTACACTCTAGACTAGATTTTCACTGGACCTTTTCCCAAGATCTTGCGTCCACAGCTGAGATACACACACGCGCCCCGTTCCCTCCCCACTCCCTCCTCTTTCCCTTATTCTCTGCATGCCTGCTTCTCTGTCCTTCCACTCCTTGCAGGAGAGCTTGGGCTCCGCGCACACCCTCTGACATGGAGCTGGGGGCATCGTGCAGTCCCCAAGCTCTGCCCCTGAGCTACATGGATGGAGCCAGGTGAGGAAAAGGGGCAGGTTTAGTTGGAGAGAGTGTTTAATAAGTACCTGTCCGTCAGAGGTCCATGCAGCATTCTGTTCTGAGGGGTACATAACAGAGGTGTAAGAGCGGGTGTGGCTTTTGGTCGCCATAGGAAGGGGGCCGTGCCCTGGAGTCAGCTGAGCGCTGCTGGTGGACCCACGTGAGATGGTTTAGTCCAGGAAGCTCATAGGAGAGAGCTTACTGGAGAAAGCTGCAGGGACATAGGTGAGACTCACTTTGCAGTTTTACTTTCTGCTATATGTTTTATTTAAATTAAGAATATGTGCCAGGCTTCGTGGCTCACTCCTGTAATCCCAGCACTTTGGGAGGCCAAGGCAGGTGGATCACCTGAGGTCAAGAGTTCAAGACCAGCCTGGCCAACCTGGTGAAACTCCATCTCTACAAAAATACAAAAATTAGCCAGTCATAATGGCCAGTGCCTGTAATCCCAGCTACTCGGGAGGCTGAGGCAGGAGAGTGGCTTGAACCCAGGAGGCGGAGGTTGTAGTGAGCCAAGGTTGCGCCATTGCACTCCAGCCTGGGCAACAGAGCGAGACTCCATCTGAAAATAAAGAAAAGAGAAAAGAAAAGAACATGCCATTTCTATAACTTAAAAGCAACAAATTATATGTGTATGGGTTCTCCTATACATATTGATGTTCTCTGCCCAATGAGAACACAGGGTGTGTGGTAGAGGGATGTCAAAAATATGGTTGGATCAGTCTTATCAGGCAGAATTGGAAGTTTCTGTGTCAGACCATGGGAAATACTGTAGGCTATGGAGCAGGGAAGCTATGGTGAGAGTGCTGATAGAAATGATTTGGCAAGCCGGGTGCAGTGGCTTCACTCCTGTAATCCCAGCATTTTGGGATGCTGAGGCAAGAGGATTGTTTGAGTCCAGGAGTTCGAGACCAGCCTAGGCCAAACCTTGTCTGTGGGGGAAAAAAAAAATTAACTGGGCATAGTGATGTGTACCTGTAGTCACAGCTACTTGGGAGGCTGAGGTGAGAGAATTGCCTAAGCCCAGGGAATTCGAGCCTGCAGTGAGCCAAGATCAAGCTACTCCACTCTCCAGCCTGGGTGACAGAGTGAAACCCTGTCTCAAAAAATAAACAACCAAAAAAAAGATACCTGCCATGCCCCTGGGAGTTGGGAAGGCAAAACTTAATCCACCTTTTAAAGTGTTCACAGTGGGAGAGACACAAGGCAGCTACTGGTTCTCTGCAGTCTGCTAAGGTCTCAGGGAGGTGTGCACCCGGCAGGTGCTGGGGGAGCAGACAGATAAACATCCAAACCAGAACAGGAATCTTCCAGAAGGAGACAGCCCAGGAATTGAGCTTGAGGGAGTAGCTGGATTTTGCTGGGTTAAGGAGCAAACAGGAGGGGAGGGATAGTCCAGGCAGAGGGAAGAGTGCATGTGAAGATACACGAGGTTGAAACAGCATGATGATTCTGGGAACTTCAGTATCTTCTTTATGGCTGAAGGGAAGAGCAATTGCATAAAATGAGACCTGAAATAAAGCAGTGACTGCTGAGGTGGAGGGGAGAGGATGGATACAGGCACCATTACAGAACAAGTTTCCTGCCAACCTTTCTAGATACTACTGGTCTCAAAGATGAAGGTCATGTGCAGCCATGTAAGATTAGCCCAAGGAGCCAGCTCAAACCATGCACATCCGGGGCCCAGCTTGGAATTCATATTCTGGAGGCCTTGGCTGGGAGGCAGAATCTGTGAATTTTAACACTTTCATGCATCCAAAGCACATGAAGGTTTGAGAGTCTGGTAAAGGCAAAATTTCGGGGTTATGTCTTAAGAAAGGGCTGGAACAGGCCGGGCGCGGTGGCTCAAGCCTGTAATCCCAGCACTTTGGGAGGCCGAGACGGGCGGAT